GTGAGAGTGTGTGTGAGAGTGTGAGTGTGAGTGTGTGTGTGAGTGTGTTTGGTGTCATGCATTGTGTATTATTAATGTTCAGATGAGGGAATGAAAAAGTGCTTTATGTATAAAGTAAATGCATATAAATATAAATATTATGAAGCAGAATGTTGTATTATCTTTTGAGTTAGAAGAGTTTAAAAGTTCAGCTTTAAAACATCAAAATATAAAACATGTCTGACTCTTGATATTTGAAGTCCAGCAGCTCAACATGCTTCATAAACATCAGATCTGAGTTAGAGTCTCAGTAGATACTCAGTGATGTGCATGAGCTTTGGTAAATATTCCCCACAGCGCCTTCATCACTCGTATATATTTAGTGTCTCTCATCAGTTAAAACTTAAAAACTTCACTCATCTGAAGTCAGAACTTATTTAACGTTCTGGTGAGCATGAAAAATATTTAGCTTTTAACAAAAACACTAATTAAACAATCTATAAAACCTGATGTAAAGTAGAAATATTAAAATAATATTATTACTGATGCATTCAACTCATTCTACTTGATTCATCAGAGACAGACATCAGTAGATCTGCAACTCGTCTCGTGACGTCCAGTAATGAGTGTGTGCTAGAGGACAGGTCAACACTATGTAACCACGACTCATCATTTCCTCACACTGCACTTCATCACAAGCCCCGCCCATTACCTCCTGGGGAACCGGTCAGTGGGCGGGGTCTGTTCATGACGTTACTAACCCTGACAGGTGAGTGACACTTACCTAGTTTTATGTATCCGTTATCAGTCAGCAGGATGTTCGCCCCCTGCAGAAGAAACACAAACGGTTAGCTCGCTGCTGTAGCTACGCTAAATATAAACACTTCAATTCATGACACAGCTAGAAAAGATACAGTTCAATGGTTTATTATTATTATTATTAAGCTCACCTTAATGTCTCTGTGCATTTTTCCTTTGCTGTGCAGGTAGAAGAGTCCCTGTAGAACACACTCACTGTATTACAATCTGATTGGTCAGAACCTGGAGGGTTTAAGAATCTGATTGGACAGAACCTGGAGGGTCTAGGAATCTGATTGGACAGAACCTGGAGGGTCTAAGAATCTGATTGGACAGAACCTGGAGGGTCAAAGAATCTGATTGGACAGAACCTGGAGGGTCTAAGAATCTGATTAGACGGAACCTGGAGGATCTAAGAATCTGATTAGACAGAACCTGGATGGTCAAATAATCTGATTGGACAGAACCTGGAGGGTCTAGGAATCTGATTGGACAGAACCTGGAGGGTCTAAGAATCTGATTGGATGTTACCTGCAGTGTTTCCCGTAGAATGTACGCGATCTGGGACTCGGCCAGTGGACCAGTTACTGAAAGACAAAACCACAGAACCAAACGTTGTTTAGTCATCACACCAGCATGCAGCTGTCGGACCCCGCCTCTGGACCAGTGCATGCTGGGACACACGTCGGCTGTCACACCCCGTTTCCTGTATATGTCTCTATATTTTCTTTAAACATTCACACAATGGAACAAAAACATGTGTCCAACATGGTAGCAGGCAGACAGTAGAGAACAACAGTCTCTGGTCTGGCCTGCTACCAAGAGTCTCTGGTCCGTCCTGCTATTGCTACCGACAGTCTCTGGTCCGGCCTGCTACCGACAGTCTCTGGTCCGGACTTCTACCGGCAGTCTCTGGTCCGGCCTGCTACTGGCAGTCTCTGGTCCAGCCTGCTACCGGCAGTCTCTGGTCCGGCCTGCTACCGGCAGTCTCTGGTCTGGACTTCTACCGACAGTCTCTGGTCTGGCCTGCTATTGCTACCAACCAGTCTCTGGTCCGGCCTGCTACCAACCAGTCTCTGGTCTGGCCTAGCTGCTAGCATTTAGCCTGCAGCCCGCTAGCCAACCTTGACACGCAGGCCTCCAGCTAGCTGACCCCAGTGCAAATAGCTTCGTATCTGCTCCAGCCCGGAACTGGGCTGGCAATATCTCCGAGGTATCCAAAGGGTCGTGGTTCATAGACCCCCTACCGCAGGGTGGGTGGGTCTATGAAGCGATGATCACTTCATCTGCGGGTGAAAAACACCTGCAGGCAGGAGGTGGAGCTACAACACGGTCTGACAGATGTGTGTGTGTGAGGCTTCCTTTCTGACTGAAGTGAGTTTAAATCTGTTTAAATCGTTATCTGTCTGCAGGGAGTCTGTTTGTGGTCGTCCTCCTCCTCTCTCTGCAGGGGGGCCCAGCGTAGTCTCAGACCAGCAGGGGGGCAGTGCGGTGGTGGTTGGTGGCTCTGGTGGTTTAATGGTTTAATGAAACCGAGCAGCCGGCATCTCACCGCTGGGGGCCTCATTAAGGCTCCTGACGACGCCTCCGGCTCGTCCTTAATGAACGAGGGGATGTGAAGGCAGGGGTGGGTGTTGTCATGGCAACAGGACAGCTGACGGGTGTGTGTGTGCATTAAGAGATTTAAAGATGGACGCCCTCACATCGAAAACGCTCTCATTACCGAGCAGAGTTCAGAGGTTTGTGGCCTTCAAAAAGCTGCAGGAAAGTTAAACTTCTGTTATTCTGACAAACTGGAGCTAAAAACGATCGAGTTCTTTAAAACGATCTTCAAAGTGTTTCACATCCGACTGACTGAAGGGATCAGAAACCAGAGGAAACACATCATGTGATCATAAACCAGAGGAAACACATCATGTGATCATAAACCACAGGAAACACAT